GGACCGCATCGTCCTTCTGTTCCATCATGCAACCCAAAGTCCCTGCCTTCATATTTCAAAACCCTCTATTGGACTGGTTCAGCTATCAGAGAATTCCCTCATAGGCCCACAGTCTGACCTAACAGCTGTGTTTCACAAGACCATACAGCAGGGATGGCCTGCGTGTACTGGAGACTGGGCTGACGCCTACTGGCTGCCAGCTGCAGGCCTCTGCCCCGCAGCAGGGCAGGCTGAGGGCAACAGCCTGATTTTCACAGCTGCATGCACTTCCTGTCTCTTTGGCCTGCTTTTCTATCAGCACCTCTTCCCACTGACAACTCAATAATGCGCTAATAGCATGGAAAAAAACCACAAGTATTGCTCTCAACTTCCTTGTTACTTTGTGCAACTGCACCTCATATCCTTGCTTTACCACCGCCTTTCTCCATACCAAGCTGTGCTCTCTTTGGACTCTGTCTCCCTTTTAAGCATTTCTGTACCACTTTTATCCTTACACCTCCTCCCTTGTGCCTCTGGTGTTGCTCAACTTGTAGCTGTTACATCAATTTATTATCTAACTCTTCCATTTTCATGCAACTGAAAGCAATGCACCACAGCCATGTGTGCTAGAGGCAGCCTGAGGTGATGGCAGGGCTATGGGCAGCGCCAAGCTCTATCTGGAAGGAAAGATAAAGAACATGTATTTGTGTAAAGTAAAAGAGAAGTGGAGACGGTGAATCTAAAGGGCTAGTTTCAGTCTGTATCATATTGACAGACTTTAGCCATCCTCAGGCTTAAGCCAAGTCATCTGGGACATTTCCAGGAATCAGGGCAGAGGAATAAGACCTCTTCTTCCCACTTCTGTTTTAAATGCCAACAACTTCTATCTGTAAAAATTCAAGGAATTTCAGTGGAATGTGGCAAAATTTCCAGTTAGAAAACAGAGTGTGATCTTTTATCAAAGTATATTTTTCTTTCAAAAAAAAAAAAAAAAAAAATCTGGCCAAAAATTCATTGACAGGAGAGACATTGAGCTTCAACTATCTGAACTTGCTACAGGTCTTATCATTACTGCACGTGTGCTTCAGTCTGAGAGCAAGCAGGATGACGAGCTGTGTGACCAAGGCTTTAGTCTATGGAACCAGCACTAAGACTTCTCTTTCTAACGTCACACTCACATAGCGGGCCTATCTGCACAAGGGCACCAATGCCCATTTCTGAAGCAGATGGCAAACCCACAAGAGATGCTGGGACGAGATGTAGAACTGCAGAGACAGCTGATTGGACCTGGGAACCACTGCACACCACGTGGGAACAGCGTGAGTCCATAGAAGCCCTACTGCAGTAACAATCACCACAAGTTTACCACATGCACTTCTTTGTTTCTAATATTCTTCTACCAACTATTCACAGCTTCTGCTGTGATCACTGCCCAGACACCTGCACCCCAGATATTGCTGCATGCTGGAGCCCTGAAATGTTCAAAACTCATGAATCTGTTTACTGTCTGACTTGCACAAACTAAAGTCCATTCCCACACAGGTGAGACACCCACTTCTAGACACTGTCTCTCGTTCTATGCAACACTACCCATGCTTGCCCCTACCCCAAATCTTGGTATGCAGCAGCCAGGCACTGCAGCGACACAAAGGTGCTGGCTCTACATCGGCTTACAAGTCTCGCAGACCTTGCTTGCAAGATCTTTCTTTTAAGCAGAAAAGCCTGAGAGGAAGTGGCAGGGAGATAGAAGGCTAGAGTGAAAGACTCAGACACAGTGGCGTAGCAAAGCATAGCTGGGGCAAGCAGCCGGGCGCGAAAGGCGTCAGCTAATGAGCTGGAAAGACTCCTCGGAACCAGACCTCCCGGAGAAGCAACTCGGCTCCTTTCAGCCCCGCCCCGGCCCTCGGCGCCCCGCCCGGCTCCTGCCCCAGCTCCTGCGCGGTGGCGGTGCGGGAGCTTTGTGCGCCCTGGCCGGGAGATGTGACCCATGGGCACCCGCCAGCCGCGGCGGGGGGCGGCTTGGCTGCCGCTGTTGCTGCCGCTGCTCCTGCTGCCCCCCCCCGCGGCGCACACAGGTGAGTTTGGGTGAGATGCGATGCCATGGGTTCGGCGAATTTTGTTTTGTTTGTGGTTTTTTTGTTTGTTTGTTTGTTTTTTAAATCACTTTGCATCGGTTCAATTTCCATATTTCTGTCCTCTAATATTTAGGTGGGAGAAGAGTGTCGTGTGTTTCTTTAAGGCTCCTTCCTCTTCTCTATGACTGTGCTGGAATTAGGTTTTACAACTCTGTGTGTTTTCTGAATGCTAATTTACTTTCAGTTATAATTTGACAGCATGCTCTTGGAGTATTTCTTGCTCTATACTTTGCGTTAATTCCCTTAATACTTCTAGTATCTTCCTTTGTGCTTGACAGCCACCAGCCCTCAGGGTCCCACCTGAGCAGTAAGAGACAGGTTACAGCATGGGGTGTGCTGAGTTTTGGCAAAGTTCTGCTCTGAGTGCCAGTCCCAGCGGTGCTTCCCAGCAGAGCAGAGCAGTGCCCCCATAGCAGCCTAGGTCAGGGCAGCACACGGGGGAGCAGGAGAGGAGTGGTGGCTGGAACGAGTGAGCGAGCAGTCTGGTTAGCAAGGACTTGGGCAGAAGCAGAGATGTCACCAGGTGAGAATAAGCTCATACACCTAAGCTGCTGAATGTATGCCTGTGGTGGGGCACTGCTGCTGCCAGAAGCATCTCACGGGATTTCTTTGTTACATCTCTCCAGTATATACAATGCAAGGCATTAAGGAGATTAGCAGAGCTTCTAAGAAGGCTGTGGTCTTTGTGCTCTGGCTGTCTTCTGCAAATATTACTGCCCAAGCTAAGTATGTGAGGATGATCTTCCCATCTAAATTCACAGCAAAGCTTCCAGATCTGATGAGAGCTGGGCTGTATTAAGGGCATTCTTCGTCCCAGCTCTTGAGCATTGCTGAGAAAAGTTTCAATTAGCTTATTTGACAGACTATTCTGTTATGCATCAGTTGTCTGGCTCTCAGGGAGAGCCATGCGTTCCTCCCATAGGGCCAGTTTCCTTCCAGGCAGCCGACCATGCTGTGCTTATCTTGTCGGTGTCTGCTGAGCATTGGGTCAAGTATTTGGAAAATTTCTATAACTTCCAGAGAAGGTTTAGAAAAATGTCAAGGGGGATGAGTTGGCTTTGGGTAGTAGCTTTACAAGGCAGGAGGGAAATATCTTGCACAGTCCTGAGTTTTAGCTAGACCTCTTCACTTGGTGTGCAAGACAGTAAAAGTTGTATTAATACATTCTGTCAGGATTTTGCTAGTAACGGAGAAAAAAAAAAACAACACATGAGGTGCTGATCCATCGTAGCAGCTCTCCCGCTCTCTTTCACCAGTGAGGTTATAGGTACATCAATCTCCTTTGGGTCTTTTCCTCCAACAGAACAAACCTGGGTTGCCAGTCACCAGCAGAGGCAATCCTGCAAATGCCACAGTTGTCCAAAGGCTGGGTCTGGTGCTGTTCTAGGACCAGATCACGCAGGGGCCAGGTGCTGTGGCAAGCAGTCTGACAGCGGCACTTCACAGACCTGAGTTCCTGCATCTGGCAGGGTCTGTACTGTGCATGTTCTTTGGGAGTCTGCTATTTAGTTAATCTCCAAACAAGTTAACAAGCATAAAGCCTTTTATGGTGTGTTATTGGATACAGTCCTAGCCTTACTTGTGTATGTTAACTGTTCTCTGGGTCTCTGAAAGTTAGGTACTGCTGTCTGGGGCTGTGTGCCTACCTCACAGGTAACTTTGCAGTACACACTTAGTACTGTACTTCATTGGGTTTTTACAAATTAGTGCTTCATTCACTGCTAAAAATCTGTGCTGTAGTACTAATGCATAAGCATGGAAAATGGAAAATGAAGTTAAAAACAAAGGAAAATCCATTGTTTAATTAACAGGATCAGGAGATGCAGCAGTTTCTCTTTACACATCAGTTTAGCATTTTTTTTTCCAGCAGCTCACAAGGTTAGGGAAGGAAGGCTGGGATTCTTGAAAGCAATAGAATGTCATTCTAAGAATTTACCAAACTCTATCTTAAGTCCTTCCATATACTTCGAGATGAGGTTTCCTTAACCATGTTTTTCTGTAGTTGGAGAAACCATTATATCTATCTTAGTAGATATATACTTATTCTGTACTGTAAAAACAGAAATATTGTGCTGAACTTCAGGCACGTTTGCTATTTCCATTCAGATGAGGCACGTGATTCTCTGGAAGCAGATCTCTCATTCCTTGCACTTACTCTACTTTTCTCCATGTTGGGAAGCGTTCTTAGCATTGGGTTTCTCTTGGATGAAGCCGACCTGGAAGGAGTGTTCCATGAGTCCATCTAATGCGAGTACAGCTAGTACAATCTTAAAAGGAAAAAATAATGGAATAAGTCTAGAAAAGATTCTTTTTTTTTCAATATTGGTATTTCCATGTAAGAAATCTACTTGTACTGGCTTGCTTTATTCACCAATGTAGACATAGCTGTAGATGCAATTGAGTTGGTAGGTGGCTGTACCAATTATCTTATGGTAGGATATTGAAAGCCTCCCCCTTTTAATGTTCTCTAATCGTTGCATAAATTACTTGGTCTGCACTGAGACATCTAGTTTAATTTGCTTCTTTCTTCTTCCACTTTATCATGGCATGTATTTTATTTTTACTAAAAAATATGTCTGCATTTTGAGAAGCAGTCATCCCTTTAAGCAGATTTGTTTTCTTTCACAGTCACTAGAATGCTGAAACATACAAAACATCTCTTTTAATAAAGGAATTATTCTGGGAAATACAAAATAAAAGGATTGGATCACAGTATGGGCCCTGCAGTTAAGCTATGGAGCTTGAGATTCGGAATCTTGCTTCTGTCCAAGCATTGTATTTTATCCTGTGAAAGCCATCCAAAAGGCGGGCAATGTTCAACACTAATAATCTGCTTCTTTTCCTCCTCACCTATACACAGTAAATCGCTGAGAAGGCGTGCACCACATCTGAATTTTTGAAGGAAGGGCAGAAAAGAAAAGCCGATCTCAAAGTTCAACAGTGCAGAGATGTTTATGCACTGACACAGGTGATCTAAGGTGTATTTTGGATCTGAGAAAAGGCTGATCTGTTATGCATACACAGCCAGTAAGTATTAGCTGAGGTATTAAATAGCAGACTGAAGTGTCTGATATTTCATATTGAAGGCATGCAGTATGTGTGTTATACACAGGCTGATTGTCCTGCGGTTGTGCTCTGTGATGTCTTTGTGCTGTGAAGCTTCACTACTAATAGTGGAATTGTATGGAAAGGCTGAGCTTTGTGTTCTGCAGAAAGAATTTTGGTGTCCTTTATTTTTGTGTTCTGTTATTTCTGTCTCTCTGCAGTGTGAAGGAGAGAAGAACAAATACAACATAGCGATAATTAAAAGGATATGTTGGCTGAAAGCAGACTACAATATATGAAGGAGTATTGTGACCATACATTTGAAAAACTCACCCTTATTTTCTCACCTGTGACCTGCTGTCTCTGGTCAGGCTGTTTCAGATAATGCCACAGTCTGTGCCCTATGTGTTGGCTCTGCTTACAATTTCCACAATTTCAAATTCTTATTGCCTGTTAATTAAGGATGTAAATAGTGAGAGTAGGTAATTCATCCCATAGAGAAATTTGAATGCTGTTGGGAAACTGGGATTAAAGCCCAAAACTTATATATGTTTTGCAGTTCCCAGTGTTACCAGTGAGGTTCACCTCACTAGTTTATAATCTTATCCTTCCTTCACAGTTGTTCTCTAGCAGCTTTTGTATTTTTAATTCCAAGACAAGCAAGTGGTTAGTATTACTCAAGTCATTTGTATTTGTGTGGTGTGGTTTCTGTTTGTTTTTGTAGTTGTGGCTTGTACAAATTGATTTTTACTGATTGATTTCTCTCCAAGATTTGGTGTTGATTGTCTACAACTAGAAGATTAGTAGCTGAGGTCATCCTTTATAACCCAAGCAAGATCTTTGTTTAAGAAGTTGAGATTTGTAGAAGCCTGAATTTTGGAAATCAAGTCTATCTGTAGATAAAAATGACTTTTCATTAGAAAGCTGTGTTTAAACAGCACATCTGTTTGTGCTTTGTTCTTTGTGTACTAGTAATTTACGGAGTTTTTATCCACTGTTCATCATATTTTGAAGAGTACAATTAAATTAGATGGAGCAGAAAGACATGGCAGTGGGATGTGGGACTGGAGATATAGGGCAGTTTACATATGAATAGATTAAATAAGCTCTGCCTCTTTCTCATGGAAAATAGATGACTGAAGGGGACTATGTTCATCTGTTTTTTTCCTGGCTAGCTGGCTAACTTAAAGAGTATTTTAAGGTACAGGAAGGGACAGGAGAAATACCATAGTTGCCCCTACTTCATTGCCCAGCATTTTGAGTTACATCTCAGATGGCAGCTGAGCTGTTATTCAGCCTCCCATTTTTCACTTCCTTTTCTGTGATGGAAATCCAAACATGTCCAAAAAAGAGTTACGAAAAGGATGTTGCTTTAGGAGAGGGAAAGAGGTTACTCAGGTTTATGTATTTGAGCTTAATCACACTCCATGCTCAGAAGCTCTGTGGTGAAAGGAGGTACTTTATGTCATAGTAGACTTGTAAGGGCTGGAGAGAGCAGTAAGGCTAATACTTATTATTTCATGTGGTTTGGTTTTTGGCTCTCCTTGTACTTTCTGGAGATATATCAATATCCTGCTGTTAGGGTGTACTGAATCAGAATAGTAATGTGCAGGATGTGGCTCAGAAACACTAAAACTGTGCCTAGAGAGAGCTGAGACACGTATAATTGCTGGCAGCTTTTTCACATTGTGAGAAGGTAGTGGACAGACAGAAGTAGAGCTGTGTGACTCCTCAGGTGTGAATCAACCTGTAGCAGTCAAACAAGATCGACAGCGAACTTCTCCATCAGCACAGTCCATGGGCAGGAAAAACATACATGTGTATGCTCTTCCACTGAACTTCAGAAATGAAACACTGTCCCTTGGATCCAGCTGTGTGTTGCCACCTTGAATAGTATTTCTGAGGCTTTCCTAAGTTGTAAAAGAAGTAGATGATTACACTGAATAACTTCCTCTGTACAGCGAAGTCACTTTGGACCTGTAGACGGGGTAAATAAGGCAGAAAATCATGTCTGGTGTTTTTAACAGAAAATACTTGCGAAGTCCAGGAAAGACACTAAAAATAATCCCATACCTCTTATTAAATGACACTGTCTTGTTCACATCTGAACTTACCGTGGGAGCACTCTGAACAGTCATACAGTGCCTCGAAACACACCAGTGTGTACCTCAGAGATTAGCAGAAATGGGCAGATACCCCAGAAAACCTTCCGTTCTTGTGAGTTCTCTACAAGCGCTAGCTTCCCAAAGGCACAAGAGATGAGGTAGTGCCAGCATGCTGGGTGCGTTAGCCCTGCCTCGCAGCTCTCTAATGCAGGAGGAAATGCTTAGCCTTTTAGAGCTAGCTTTCCCTCAGAAGTGAGGGCTTTTCTTCCACTGACATCACGTTCAATCTCTTGTCTAGGGGAAAACGTAGATTCAGAAAATAACATTTCACTAATTCAGATTTCAAGAAAAACAAAACCCCTTGTCTAGACAAGCTGTTGGTAGGTTGGAGAGCGAGGAACAACAGCCTTTAGGAATAAATAAAATCTTAACCATTCTAAATGAACAGCCACTATCTTATAGATATAAGCACTAAATAGTGGCTCAGTTTATGTAAATATATACTTTATGAAAGGGTACGTTAGGATTGGTCTGCAACACGTTGTGTCAGAATTCAGCTGATAACTCTGACACAGCAGCAGTTTTACAACATTTCCTTTTCAAAAAGAAATTTACTTAACCCTTGCATTTTGAAAAGTGTAAGAAGTCAGAAATATTTGAATTAAGCACTCATTTTCTTGGCTGCTGGGTTGTAGTTGGTCTAATAAGCAGAAGTTTTTCATGCTAAGTATGTTCTCAGGAGAAAAGAAAATCCTCAAACATTAGGCAGTTTGGCTATTTTTAATATATAATTTCAAAACATCTCTGTTGAAAAGCAAATGAGCTTTTAAAATTAACAGTTATTTTTGACAGAAAAGTACTTCTGCATTTCAAACTTAATAAAATATCATTCAAGTATTTTTCATTTTTGTAAAAAAAAAAGAAAAAAACCCACACACTCTGATGAGTGATGATTCTCAAAGTCATAACGGGGTTATGAGTAATCTTAGACTTCCTATCAACTTGTTTCATTCCAATATTGATCACTTAAAATTAATAGAAAACATGCAGTAACTTTCTCCTATTTGACTGCATCAGGGGCATATTTTTGCAGTAAGACATTGTTGGGTAATATGAGCTCTACCCTTGCACTTGCAAACTTTCAAAGTGGTGGGGGAGAAGCACTTGGGTCTCTGAAACATGGCAAGGCAGGCCACACCTTGTATTGGCACCCTCTCTTCATCCTACCCTCACACCTTTTCCAGGTGATCTGCTCAGTCTCACCTGATTCCAATGGCAGCCTGCCTATTTTCTTCTCAAACAAATCCACATACCTGGGTCTCGTCGCTCACATTTTCCCATTTCTTCTGCCATTATTTCTGCTTTTCTGTCTGCTCCACCATCTCAATTTCATTTAGTCCAATGACACTGTTTCTGTCCCCATCTTTCTCTCCCTTTTCCACATACCCGTTATTAAAAGGTTGTTACTGGTGGGTTTGATTCCTCTTCTGGGAGGGCAAGAGTTTGCTCTGTGGTTACCTCTCGAGCACTGCTATGGTTACAACAGGAAATCACCTCCACAGTCCTCCTCCAATTCCCACCACCACTGAAGTAAAAGGGCTTCAGTAGCCCAACTTCATGTGCAGAAGTCCCAGAGCTCCAGCACCCACCAAGAGAAAGGCAGGGATGCTTCAGTGACTCCTGCCTGCCTCTTCCTCCTCACTATACAATCTGTTGAATTCCAGAAAAGAGCTTATAAGAATCAGCACAAAGGAAATCTTTCAGGCTGACTTTGTTAAACAAACAAACAAAAAAGTTCACTCATCTCTTTTAATTGTTGTAAAGATGACTAATATCAGGCAGTGACATTTGCTAACGTGTATTCCTGGCTCTGTGGGGTTTCCCTTCCTCTCTGTAACTTCTGAGCTCCCGTTTTGGCTCAGTTCCCCTGTTTACTATCTCATGCACTCCCTCGCATTCCTGCATGGCCAGTGCCAGCTTGCTTCAGACTGTAGATATGCCACAAAAGACAGTCATAGCGCTCTGCTAGCAAATACCACTAAACATTATGTCAGCGGACACTTGTTCTGAGTACAGCCATTTTTATAATATACTTAAATGTGTTTGAGGCAGTATTTTTCATTTCAAACAATGTATTCATCTAAGCAGATGAGCTGGAAGAAGAAAAAAAGAGTATGAATTCAGCAGCAGAGAAGGAGCAAGCAAGATTGCACAAGAATTTGGTGGAAGTCACCCATAGCTGAACAGAAAGACAGGGCAGTGTGTTACAGCACAGCCAGGAGTGAACATCCGATGTGCTCCATTGCTCCTACTTTACTTGGTATTTCACTGGTGGTTCTGATGCCAGTGAAAAGGTGAATCAGGAACTTGGCATCTCTGAATGTCTGCTCCCTTGTGGACATGTGCAAGTTGGATTAGATCAACGGCTCTGAAGTGGCAGCTGCAAATCACAAGGCATGGGGAGTGAATGTCCATTGTGATGCCCTTAATCTCAGCGCCTGAGGCAAAGGAGCCGCTACCATCAGAGGTTGTCCCAAGGGCCACTTCTGCATAGGAAAATGCAAAAGCAATTGAAGCCAAAGTCTTCTCTGTCACTGTCAGAAGAGGAGTTCTTCATTTGTAGAGAGGAGATTGATAAGGGAGGAGTACCTGCTTTTTACTGCCGTAGGTATTGGAAAAAGCTGTGTTGAAGTAAGACTTAAGACTCTCCTTTCTGTTTCAATTCTTTCCACATCTCTCACTGACTTAAATTACATCAAATAGTTGTCTAGAGAAATGCTCCAGCTTTCTAAGTCATTTTATTTTGTTGGAAAATTTGGTGGGACAGCAATCCTCATGGCCATGACACAATAAAATACAACAGGTGATCATTTGTATTGAGAGCAGCACAGTCAAACACCAGTACTGAAACAATACACGTTTCTGTGGCAACAGCTCAGTTTTCAGTGGTTATTTGTCTTCTCCCCATCCTATAACTTTAAAAAAACCAATCTATATGTTTGTGTATTTATGTATTTTTATACTTTGCAGCTGCTAGGTTGTCTAAATCAAGAGACACGTTAACAAATGTGTTTACAGTGAGAGAGCTGAGGCAGCTGTATTTGTCCTGTAACACTGACATTAAACACAGCCATTTATCACTGCATTAGGCAACACTGCCTCCGTACAGACAGAAGGCAGACACACTGAGCAGATAATAGTTATAACTGGAAATTACATGTGCTTCTATTTGTGTAGGTGTGCACACACATATTCAGGTGTGTATAGATAGACGTGGCTGTACCCAAAACCAAGGTTTGAGCACTAACAACTTGAGCAAGGCACGTACAAGGTGCTGAGCTGCATGCACTTAAAACCGACCGCATTTCTCAACCCAGCAGGCACTTTCACAGAGAGAGGATGAGGCACCTGCTGTGAAGTCCTTTACTCATGTGAATAGTCTCACTGACGTCAGTGGGCTTTTTCGCTCACATGTGAAGGTGTTTTCAGGCTAAGTCATATCTGTTTTGAAGAGCCTCGCAGTAGTGTATTGTAAGATCAGGACTTGGCTCTTCAGTGCGGTGGTGAAATTTACAAGCCTATATTAGTACATTCCTTCCAGCCCAGGTGTGCAAAGAATTATAAAGATATGAAGAACACCATTGCTCAAGGTTTGATTTACAGTATTTCCAAACACAGTAATAAGAGCTCCAGGTTTTTTTTTGCATCCAATAAATAAATAAAGGAAATTATTTCATTATACTGGAAAGTGATGACAGCCATTGCAGACTATCTGTGAGGCAGGCTGAACCTAGAAAAGCACATTGCGTGACTGATTTGTGCTCATGTAGGCCACTGTAAACTGAAAACACGTGACATCCATGCTATTAATCCATTAATGGAAAGAAAATTGGAGTATGGTGGGTTATATTTTGTTTAGAGATGAGATACTGAAATAAGCAGCTGATAACTTTGGGAGATGCAAGCTATGTCTACACTCTATTTTATGCACATGCCTCCTGATATTACAGAGCATCATGGAGACATGAAGGAGTTCTTTCTTAGCTCTTCTCATAGAAATAGTGGAGTATGGCAGTTTTATTCCTGTTTTACAGATGCAGAATTGAGGAATAAAAAATGTGCGTTGTTTATCCACAGGGCAAGCAGATGCACCTACAAAAAACACATATAGAAAGTAAATCTCTTCCATAGCAGCTGATGGAAAGTTAACGGTCTCTGTCCCTTTGCTCCCAAATCACATTGAACTTGGGGTAAATTGGAGTGTGCTTGCAGTGTGATAGTGCTTTAGATCTTGTAAAGATAGAGCCTGTGGGTTCTGTTGGCTGAGATTGGCTCATCTACTGCAGTCAGTGTTTCTGTTTTGAAACTTCATTTACCACATCAGAAGCCACGTTAGGCAGAGAAAAAATTGAAAAAAAATAAAAATAAAAAACACATGTTACTAGTTTAAAAATGTTTGAGTGTAACACATAAGTTCATGACTCCTGCTACTTTAAAATGTGCTTAAGGAATATAAATGTTTTTATTCAAGGTTGGGCAAATGTCAAAAGGTGCAGGTACACAAAACCATTTAGAAAACCGGAGGAAGAAATTTGCTTTGTTTGTGATGAGCTGGCTGGTTCCATTCACTGACCATGCATTAGCCCCATTTTTTATAAAACTTTAAAAGAAAAAAAGTGTGAAATGTGAGCCGACAGGGAAGGCTTCAGCTGTCTTCTACTCAACTCAGATATAACGCTGGCTAATTTTTTATGAGGCTTATCAAAACAGGCCTGGCAGTGACCTTAAGATCCCACCTGTCCCACTACCCTTAGGCAGAACCAGCTGTGTTGTCTGGCAGATAGCACCCTGATCTGCCCTTTGAAACATCCAGAACCCTCCAGATAGTCAGCCTTGTGTGTTCTCTTCTGCCCATCAGGCATTTCTGCTGCGACTTCTTTCTATCTGAAATGAACTTCCTTTCTTCTTTTCCTTGTTCATGGATGACATGGAGGATAAACTGTCCCTTCATGTAAAGACTTGCAGCGTTGCCCCAGCTCCCTGACAAGGTCTATCTCTTCTAAGTTCACTGTCAAAGAAGCAGAGATGGGGGCTGACCAGCATGGCTGCCATCTCCAGGGCAGGGAGGGAGAGGCATCTGCATTGGTCCATCCTAACCAGAGAGAGGAACCAGTGGGGGGGGGGGGGGGCAGTGCTCACTGGCTCTTTTGCTTGTAATTAATGCAAAGCAGATGCCTCCCTCAGAGAGTCTGAGTTACCAGAGACATATCTCTTCCTCTTCTGCTGCTAGTTTGGGATTTTTTAATCTTGGCTGTGAGGGTTTTCAGACCCTTCAGTATGTACTTTATTTTATTCTTAATTCTCTCCTTGTTGGTCTTTCAGGTTTTACCTCAGTGTTTTTTAATGAGAAGCTTTTTATACGTTTGGTTCCCCTCATCCTAAGAAATAAATCCATTTTCTATATCCTCCTGTTTGGGAATTGCAACAGAAAGTTTATTTGTGCTTCAGTATTTCCCCTGCTGTCTACACAGATTTCCCAGTTGCCTTCTCCAGGATTTGGTCATGGCTGTGTCACTTCTGTTTTTTTCCCTTCTTGTTCCTACAATTGATGTCTTCCCTGTAGTCTTATCAACAGTACTGCAGGGATTTGGTACAAATGATGAAATTTGATGCACGGATGATTTCTTGCAATCTATGTAGTACTGATTTTGATTTGTTCTTCTTAGTAGTTTGCACATTAATTAATTAATTAATTAATTGTTTCTCCACTGAACAAATGTTGCCAACTTTAGGATGTTTATTGGGCAGCTTCATGCTGACATTTGGAATAGTTTCACCTAGAGCAGGGAGGTTGTGGAGGACATTTATTTTGGTGGAAAGTAAAACTTTATTTTCTAGGTTATCTCCCGCTTGGAAGAAAATGTTAGAGTAAAGCAAATGCCGAAACCTTCTTGGAAGCCTCTTTCTGCTGCTTTTACATCCTCTGGCATCTCAAACTTTTTGATTTCATTAATTGAACCTGTAATTTGAGCCCTTGTGAGATTACAGTCATTGGGCATTTCTGTGTCCAGGACTTTCTACATACCATTTGGTAAATAAGTAAGCTTGCCCTAAGGATTGTGCTTGACAAGATTCATTCTCCAGAAAAAAAAAGAAGGAAAAAAAAGAAATTGAAAGTCACTGAATACCGGCGAAGATCTGGGGAATAAAAGAGAGCAACATTAGAAACACGCTCCATAAACAGGTTTATGGAAAGCTGAAGATAGAGATGCAGGCATATACTGAAGTTTCTTTTGAACATTAATATGCAAACAGAGGCTTGGAAAACCCAGGATTTCTACCATGACAATTTTAAATATTTGGCCTTTACAGAATAGCTTTTTCTGACTGTTTCAAAGACAACTACAAAAGAGTCAGTTAATCAGGAAAATGGTGGTGATTTTTACTTATAAAAGCAGCTATGTGTTACACATGGTATTTTATATGCAATTCATACAAGAGAATGAACACTTTAGTAATAGTGAAATATATCACCAAGAAAATAATAAGGTCTGCTTAAGGTCAGAGTCTGTTCATTCAGATAGGTTCCCACTGTTCATGTTAATGTGTTGTATTTCCTCCTTTCTTTGTCACTTTTTGTTATCTTAAAAACTCAAATTGCATCTCTGGAGGAAGAAGGTTCTGAAAAGTCCTGAAAGACCACTGATTCACTTTTTCTCTTCCTTATTATGATCTCGTGGCCACTTGCACAAGAAGCTGCTCCCCAGCAGCTGCAGCTTCAGGATTGCTCTCAGGGCTGCTCGAAGTTGCTGGGAATTGGCTTGCAGCTTGAAGCTTGGGATTCTGTCCCAGCCCCAAATTCCTCTGCTTTGCAAGTAACTTAGCAATGTGAACATAGGAAACTGGGCTCTGAAGAGTCCTCAGACTTGCTTGCTCTGCTCATTTATGGTTCAAAGAACCGTAATTTAGATGAGTGACACACCACTAAGTGTTTGCTTTTTGACTTAATCAAGAATAAAGGCAGTATGTAGCAGTTTATGGCTTATTTAAAAAATAAGCTCCTGTTTGGTTAACTTTGAAGTATATGAATCTGCACATTCTTAGTGTATATTGTTCCTTTCTTATTTTCTTTCTCAGGAGAGTTGTATTGTTCTTTGCCCAACCCTAGGAATGTTCATTTTGAATCTACAAACATGAAGAATGTCCTTCACTGGTTAGCACCAGAAGGTACAGGAGATGGAGTACTCTACAATGTGAAATATTCAGTGTAAGTTGGCTTCTTTATTGTATCCTTCACTGTTTTTTTTTTTAGCATTTTAAATTAAAAAAAAAAAAAATCTTCCTGCAAGATAGGGCTGCTAAAAAGTAAAGAAAGAAGAACTAAAGCATAGCTTAGATTTAAGCAATATAGTTTTTAACTTTTACTTCTGGTACTGCTTACTTCAGATCCAGTTAAAAAAAATTTATACGGAAACTCTTCCTATGAAAGGAGTGTGGGATGTAACCTGAAGCTTTCAGGGCATTCGGCAGAAATGAAGCTAAGGAATAAGCAGGGACAGTGCTGTGAATTGGCATCATAGTTGCCTTCTATATATGCTTGAATGGATCTGAGGATGTAGTATTTAAAGGAATATTGTAAGCAGACACAGTTTCATCAGTCTTTTCTAACAGACTCAACACCCACAGGTTTATTTCCATCCCCAAAGCTTCTCCAGTTTGGGTGTCAATCTGATGAAGTTTTCAAGTATTATAAACAACCAAGTAACATGATCAGAAACAGAGCTTGACTCTTCGTAGGATATCAAGGAATGTGAGTGAAGACCAGAATCCATTTCCTTCATTGCCACCAAGAGAGCGCTAGGTCATCGTAAGAACAGTATTGGAAGTTTAACTTATAAATAGGTGTAGTTCTGTGGACATGGATGTTATCGTGCTCCTAGTCTTAACCCAGTCTGGTAGCTTTTTCATGACACTAAAACAAATTTAGATCTCCAGAAGTTTCCTGCAACTTGTACTGATTTAGCAGTTAGAGTGTGCAACCTTGTTTCCCAGATCTTGCCGTCTGTGCTAGCAGAGGAGTAACACAGTCCACATCCCTCGGAAAGGCAAGATAGGCAAGATTTCTTGACTGTAAAGAAATGAACAATAATCATATAGAAGATAAAAAAACTCAGAGAGTGTTAGCTGTGCTGACCACAGGTCAGCAGTAGAGTAGTCATAGTTATGGGCCATCTTTCACACAGAATACAAAAATGCTCATCTGTATCTCCAGTTAGCTAGAAAAGCAAGACTTTGAAAATGCAGTTGTGTAGATGCTGCCACATTCCCTTATTAATTAGCAGCTAAATTGGGATTCTTCTTAGCATAATGTGAATTTGAGGAGTGGGAGCTCCTGAGAAAATCCAGGCATAAATTTTCCAAGGAAACTTGGATTTCTTCTGCTTGTGCTTAAGATCAGTACTGAAGCGTTATTGTAGCGTGCTAATGCTGCTGCTTCAACAAGAAGGATTTTGAAATGCATCATATTACAGATGGAGTGTTTATATTAAACAAGAAAAAAAAGTGACCAACAGCTTAGCACACATCTTTACACAGCAGGAAGAGCCACTCTACAGAACATTTTATCATTAACAGTTATCTTGACTCAGTTTAGAGTTTAAGCCAAAGCTGTGGAGACTGAAGTTGAGAGTTCCATGTAAGCGAATGTGGTATTGCTAACATCCCAGTTACCTATTGCCGTTTTTGAAAAGGACCTACACTGGTTTATTTTTCATTGAAAATTCATGTTTTTATCTCAGCTGAAGTTGGGAGTTCCTTGAAATAGCACATTTCTGCAAAACAGGCAGACTGTTCTTATCAGCTTGATCATCATTTCTTTGTATATAATCAGGTGAATGATACGATGTCAAGAACATTTGTACAGCTCCCTTCTCTTTCTCTTTCAACACAGATATGGGGTTGGCAAGTGGATTAGGAAGCCAGAATGCAGGAATATCAGTACAACATGGTGTGACCTCTCCAGTGAGACTGCTGACCATGAAGAGCAATACTATGCGAGTGTGAAAGCCTTCCTAAAAGGGAAGTGCTCTAACTGGATAGAGACAACACGATTTAACCCTCTTACAGACAGTAAGGAAAGCTAATCACAAAGCCAGGTGTTCATGGCCTTGGTTTATACTGTGTGCTCAGACTGCATCCTCATAGTATGCGATACTTTAATGTGTGCTTAGATTTTTTTGCTGCTGTTTGAGATTTATGCTGCTAGCAGCAGTAATTGCAGTCGTTGTAATTTGTAATTTTTGTAATAAATCTTTACTCAAAGGGAAAAAAGGGCATGGCACATATACTTTATGAAGAACTCTGATTTTGAAAAGGCCCTATTAAACCAAACAGTAATTGTACTCTAAAGCATCATATCTCTTATCTGTACCAGATAATATGACAATATACTGGTAATTCAGCTTGTTTTAGCAAATTGAGTTTCGATGTTGCACATTCTGCAAAGTCACAGAACTTCCTAGGCAAAATTCCAAGTCAGTGTTCAGCTTCTTACTGTGAAGTTTCAGTTACTTACGTGGAAGATATTTTTATATCAGTATAAATAAATTGTTCAAGGTTCTATTTAGACTACCCAAAATATTACAAAAATATGATTGCCTTTAAGAAGTTGCACGGTCAAACCTTCAGATTCATGTAACTATTTCTTATAAGTTTTTATTTTTCCAGCTAAAATTGGCCCACCTATGGTAAATGTGTCTTCTACCGAGAAATCTATTTCAATCACACTGACTGTTCCTGAGAAGTGGAGAAGTCCTGATGGAGAATCTATATCTCTGCTTCAAGTATATCCTGGCCTGCAATACAACGTGTCTGTCCTCAAGAAAAAGACAAAGAAACGAGTAAGCTCTGATAATGCTACAGAACTTTACCTATTAAGTCTGTGCACTGTAACACCAAGAACTGAAATAAGGCTCATAACATGACAGGAACCGTAGGGTCATTGTCCATCTTCCTGTGTCAGGCAGACCAAAACTGGATGCACTACTCTAGATGTGGTCTGATGAGCACGGAGTGGAGGGGCATAATCCCTTCCCAGCACCTACAGAATCTTCTCCTTTTGACACAGCCCAGGATGCTATTGACCTCCTTTGCTGCAAGGGTGCATTGCTTGCTCACGTTCAGCTTTCTGCCTATCCCAGCCCTCTTCAGCAGAGTCTCTCCTCAGCCAGTCAGGCTCACCACACATCACAACAAAGTGCATCCTTTGCCAACACATCTGAAAGTCTTCATTCATCTCTCTCTCCAGATTTAAATTCCATAAGGGAGTAATTTTCACCAAAAACAGTAGATAAGGAGGCAGTTAGTGATTATTCACAAAAATATCCATTCTTCTCCTCCTGTCCTCCAGACACAACACCTATCTAGCAAATGTCTGCATTTCCAGAAAAGAGGAGAAAGGGTCTTACACCAAAACAGTCCCCTTCTGTCAAAGGTATATTAAAATGCTGAGATTAGCATTAGCTTGACAAAGAGCAGTTACTTTGAATTCCAAGACCTACATAAAAACTTATTTTATGGCTCCTAACTTTACCAGAACATCCAAATTTGAAAGATTTTCAGAACCTGTATCACGTGCCTTTCATTTGCCTACACATCAGGAAGGGGCTAGTGTGGTATTTTATCTCTACTGCAACATCAGCATGAGAACGTGGGCTGGTGATGATACGTGATCCTACTTCACATAAACTGTGATGTTGTGCAGTAGTAGTAAAAGGGTGATTGAATGGGAGATAAAATATTCAGAAATTATGTGACATAGTGAAGACGTTGAGTTTTGATTGCATTAGGAAAAAAAAAAGGATACAGCTGGCAGTTATTGGAGCATTATTATTTATTTCGGGAAATGTGTTCTCGTGACAAATTTTATCTGTAACATTTTTACCTTTCTGTATGTGAGGAGTTAAAGAGGAAAGACAGACTTTTTTTGTATGTATCTTCTAGTGGTTGTTCTCCATCAGCAACAGCACCTTGGTTGTGCCCTGGTTAGAACCTGGAACAGCTTACTGTGTCAGTGCGCAGATCCATGTCACTACACCTCTTCTACACAGTGGGTTTTCCAAAGAACACTGCATTTCTACTTTGAAAGGTACGTGTAAGCTGGCAAATTACAGAGTTAGAGAAAATGGTGAATGAGTTTGTAATTTTTGCTGTCTATTCTCTCTCTGTGGATTCACACTATTGAACTTATTTTTGACTTTAAAACATAGTTGGGTCCTGCTGACTGAAAGATAAGACAGTACCTTTGAAAAAAAGGCTCTGCATTGCTTGAGTCTCAATGAATGAGATCTTTTTTTTTCTCCTTGAATGATGCTTGGGAGTGACAGAGCTGGGACAATCTGAGGGGGTAGAAACTAGCAACAGGAGAGCAAGAGGGAGGGATTGTTACTTAATTTTACAGGTTTTTTTTACTTTTTTTTATAGTTTAATTTATTATTTAGACTGAAATAATAAAAGATTGTTCTGTAGCTCTTTTTTTCCCCAGATTTCCTGTAAATTCCTGTTTTATTTAAAATATTTGCATCCCATGTCCCAAAGAGCAGTATGGTAAATGTGAGTGTTACTGTCTGAATACATTATGAAGTTAAGCCGTACAACAAAAACTTTTGCTTTGTTAACAGATAAAACAACAGATGAGACTATAACAGTTGTATTTGGATACATTCTGCCTATCGTGCTAGCTGTCCTTTTCACTTCAGTGGCATGCTGCTGTGTGCACAGGTACATTCATGTCAGCAAACAGAAGCATCCAACAAGCCTGGTATGTATTCTTTGTTGCCGGATGACGCTGCCAGCTTTGGATCTCACAGCAGAGTTGTGTGTTTTCCAGGAGGAAACCAAGGCTAATTGCAAATGAAATCTCTAGTTGCCACTCTGGTCAATTATAAAACAGAGGAATAACTCCAGTTAGCAACTGTGACTAGATATGAGAAGATGACCAAGGGTAACAAAGATTGGAATAGATCTGTTCGCTTGGGAAGGTTCAGTGCCACAGGCAAGGTCTGAGATGAACTGAGGCAGATTCTGTAGGAAGTCAGCACTCCTGAAATGCATTCAGAAAGAAGCACAGAAGAGAGTTAGTGAACAAAAAGTTGAAATCAGAAACTAGAAGAGGAAGTAATTCAGCAGTGCAGAATCGCCTTGATATTTTCTTGGATCATTACTAGGTGCTGCCACATTTTCCCATGTATTTGGGAAGGTTTTAGCACAGAAAGGTTATTTAATCTGAATTTCAGGAGGTCGTTCATATACTGGATTCTGTTTTTTTGCATCCAGTACATTACCAACAAGCAAATTCTGTTATTTTTACTCCCCAGAGACACTTTCTATGTAAGAGTGTTTGCAGATTTCTTAAAACCACTCTTTAAAGTTGGTTAAATTTTGGAAGGAACACATGAAGTTTACGAAACGTTATCTGTTTCCATCCAATAAGCCCAATGAAATTTTCTTACAGCTATCTATCTGTAAACACGTTGCTCAATCACAAAAGTGCAGTTGATGAGCTCTGATGTTAATCCAGTCTGCACGACACGGTGTGGTGGGAGGTATAAGGGAGGTAGTTTCAACACTTTGATCTTTCTAAAGAAATCCAGACCAGCAGAGATGATAGAAGTGTTTTTCAGAGGGACTGACTGCTTCTTGAAAGGGTCAGAAGGAAGTAGCAGAGTAGCTGCTGCTGCAGTGTAGTCAGGCATGTGCCAAAACACCTGCAACTGACAAGGTGCCAGCTTTGTCCTGGGGTACAGGACATGGTAGGGGGAGATAGCAGTTTGCCACAGTTTGGAAAGCTAGAAGGACAAAGGTGCACAGCCAGAGGACTACTTAAAGAGAAATTTCCACTCAAAAGTAGATTAAACTCCAACTCCAGGAGTCTTTTCTCTTATAGCATTGTGTTGTTTTTGTGGGTCTTTGGGAAGTTTTGTTGGGATTTTTTTGCATCCAGTGAACTTTATGTTCAGCTTGAAAGCTTGAGTTTTACTTCTGCACCTCTTAATTCAGCTCATGTAAAGATAATGAATGAATATGGAACTGCTGTTTTAGCGATGGGTTTTGCTTCTCCCAGTCTACAGACCATTCCACACAGCCATCCCTTGTGGTCACAGGGAGGCAGAATAAGCAATTTGGTTTGGTCTGGCACTTCTGACCCGAGGAATCTTTCAGACTACGTAGATTAGTGGTTTTAGTCCTCCATTCAGGTTTGAAATGTTGAAGTGCAGCTTTTCGTGGCTGTTATTCTATTGCATTTTCTTTTAATGTCTGCTATACAGTGCTTCGATCTGCTATCTATGCTAGAAATACTAGTCATTTCAAAAAGATTGTATACTGTTGTTTAACTAGATCATTTATTGCATTCATAAATCCAGCCTGTGAGCAAACGCAGAGTGCAGGTTCTGTACACTGCTGTATTTTCCCTCTCTGAGAGGAAACTTGGTATTATTTAATCCTCTGTAAGTCGCGCCTTAGCATGGTAACCAACTGTGTGGGATGTGGTGACTGCACTTCCTTTTTGCTGGTTAAAGAGAGTGGAATAGATTTCTGTAGTCTGTGACCCACGTGCAGTTCCGATGTTTTCTCAGTCACTTGATTTTGTGCTGGTGGAAACAAAACCAGAATTTTGACAGAATTGTTCTAACCATTATTTTGGCATGGAGAAGATGAGAAAAAGGAAATTAGAGCTGATCATAATATACTTTTACTTCTGACAGAACAACAAAAGCAGAGCATTTTAACAGTCTTACAGGTATACATGATGAACTTCCTTTTTCCCTAAACTGAATTATTCACTCCTAATATGGTCTAAGAAAGCCTCATCTTTTAAAAACAGACAGTAGTGTAAGAGGAAGCAATATGGTATTTTTATTATACTTAAATCAAAATACTTTTTGCTTTCCAGGTATGGCACTATACTGATAAATGCAAGGAAAAGGTTTTTATACCCTGTGAAAAAATAGTGGTCAACCTTATCACAGTTAATGTGGATGAGCACAGACCGTCTCAGGAATCCATTCATCCATCAGAAATGAAAAGCCCCCGTTATTATACTGTTTACAGTGGCACTGAAGGGAGAGATTTGTCTCCAAAAGAAGTGCTGGAAATAAAATACTTGCTGGATATTTCTCATGAAGAGATTTCACAAGAAGAGGACATTTTAGCTGAGGGGGACAAAACTGGAACAAAGAATGACCAGCCTGGAACAAAGAATACTTTGAGACAAAAAAATGGAGGGACTGTAGAGTATAAACTCAGCGTAAGGGCTGAAGACTTCGGTCCTGGCCAAAACCTAGAAGAACTCAGTCTGAAAGAGAAGACTTCTGCACCTGGGGAACTAGGTGAGCCACAGACTGCTTTGGGAAACTTAGTTAATTTTAATACAGGAAAGGCATATTGCCCCCAGCTGGAGGTGAGGGCAGCAGACCCTTCTTTGGGACAGGAATTAGAGGAACTTAAACTGAAGATGGCTGATGCAGTGGATGAATTGCTAGGTAAGACCTGCATCAACTTGGTGGACTCAGATGATGAAAAATCTGGGCAGACATCTTATCATTGGCTGGGAAAAATAGCACATGGTGTCACAGAGAATGAGAGTGAACAGACCATACTGGTAGACTGGGACCCACACACTGGCAGATTGTATATTCCTACTTGGTTCACTGTTGAAAATGAGGTGTGTAAAGGAGTATTTAAGTGTGATGTTCCTAACAAAGAGGGAATTTTGTCCAGACTGTATGAAAAACAGGTATCTGAAGAACCGTCTGAGGACCAAGAAATGTATCTGCTGCAATTTCAGGAACAATGGGGACTGCATGTAGAAATGGAAGACTGAACAAAGATTTTCTAGAATACTGTAAACCACAAAACCCTGTTTACTTTGCCAGAGAGAATGGTGGACTCAGCAGAGAAAACATATCTTAATGTATTGAAAGTTTTTAGAACCGTCACAGTTGAACAACTTATTCATGATATTTATAACAACTTCCAGGCATGATATTGGTGATTTCAAATCCCATTATATACCTCTCTGGTAAAATATAATGGTTGTGAGATTACCTTCTTTTTAAAAAATAAAAATCTCTGTAAAAAGGGTGCATATTGTAATTGCTACTAAAGCAAAATATTTTGGTTTGAAAGCTGTTATTTTTAGCAATAAAAAGCAACAGTATGATATTTTGCTGGGATGTGCCAAGTACCTTGACACAACATAGCCTTTTTTATGTCTCATTCCTGCTAGTTTTAATGGGTGCAGTTGATTTTTTGTGGAAGTAAAGGGCACCTCCAATATATGGTTTCTTTGTTTTATCTACATTCTATTTAGTGAGGACATTCTAATCTTTTTTTTTCATGAAAGACTCAACTGGAATGCACAGTCACTTCCCTACTGCTGCTCAGATACACATCCAACAAAATTTCTTCTAGCAGGTACAGATACAGGTTCAGAAAACGTGGTGGAGAAGGTGGCAAGCACTAGTCATATTTTACTCTGAGGGAAAATGTGGTGTGGGGGAATTTAGTAATACACCTGCAGTCTTACTGGATGGCCTGTGCCTCACCCAGCCTTAGCCACTAGCAGTATAGAAGCTGTTTCATGATGAAATGACTCACGTCCTGCAAGTGACTGTTCCTCCCTAGTGACTCTAATGGCAGGCTAGCATGACTAGCTCAAATGGAGAAGTCTGCTCTAGGCTCACCAGTGCTTTTCCAGGTACATCCCACTTAACACAGCAGACCCAGAAAGCGTCCTGGTGAGCTTTCTTTTCCTATCTGATGTCCAAAACAGGACTTTCAATACAAGTTCACTTTTTATCCACATTCTGTAATATTTACTTAGGATAGTAAAATTACCAGACATTCTAGAAATTACCTACTGAGGCAGGTGACACTTCCTTTCAAAGCCTGTTGGACCCTCTTTTTCTTAACAGACTTTTTTTCTTTAGAACACCAGAGTAAATCACAATAATGATATATTTAGTTTTCAAGGAGAAACAACAAAAGAGAAAACTTTTCTGTTGTGTTTAATACTCGTAACCTCCAATACATGGTGTAATTTTGAAGGAAGAAATTTAGCAATATCTTTTTTTATTCCAGTAATTTATTTGCTGCAGGACTTTGGCTTTTTCTTTGAGTATTCATCCTCCAGAATATGTTAGTTGCAGTCATAGATTTTAAAACAAGAAATGACAGTCAAACATTTCACACTGATGACTACTGATGTAAAAAAAAAAAAAAAAAAAAAAAAAAAAAAACACCTCTCAACTGTCTTTATAATAAGGATATATTTTGCAGCAATGTTACATCTAAATGCTTATATCATGTATTTATCTTCTGAGAGATTCACAGAGGAAGGTCACAGCTCAGGGTGGAGTAAGAAAATAGTTGGAGAGTGTCATCTGAGAAGCTGGGAAAAGGACAGAATTTCTACTGTTACACACCAGCTTCATTAAGCCATCCAAAATAGTCCCACTATTTCCTAAAGATTTCTTAACTAACCTCTGGGATCACAGTCTTCCAGTTGACTTCTGTGATATGGGCACTTGTTTTTTTCCTCCCAATGAATAACTTCCTTTTCTTTTCCTATAGCCCACTGAATTTTATTCACTTATTCCTGTCCTAAGATCAATTAATTGTTCATCTTGTATGTCTTTCATACAGAAGAGTGAAGATGCTCCAACTCCCCTACTAGTTTGTTTCTGCTGCCAACCAACATTCCTTGAAAAGGAAGGCATCTTTATTTTTGGTTTGCATTTTCTCTGGTTTTATTTGCCAGCTGTTGATGTGTGCAACAAACTTTGCCCCAGTAGTTGTGCAAAGACACATACCACGATCATGTCGCTGCTGATTAAATTTGAGAACTTGATAAATAAATCATACAACTTCATTTCGTCCAGTTCTTTGGTCATTTAATCCTCTTCCTGCACATATAATTGTATTTTTTTAACCTTCCACTTATAGTTCAGTTGCGTAGCAATTAATTTCTCTCTTGCACTTGAAAAAAGGCATCACCTTCGTAGCTAACGTTAATTGTGATCATAATATACGGTATTGAGATTCTTGTAATCAAGCTGCATTTTCAGGATAAAATTTCATGATAAATAAGTTTGCAGATGACACAAATTTGAGTGGCAATATCAAGCTGCCTGTCAGGCTAGAGGAAAAGGATGCCATGCAGAGGAACCTGGATGGTATTGAGAGGTAGGCCCATGCCAATCTAATGAAGTTCAACAAGGCCAAGTCAAGGTTCTGCATCTGGGACGGGACGATCCCAAGAGCCAAGTACAGACTGGACAGAGAATTGCTCAAGAGCAGCCCTGATCTGGGGGTGTTGACTGATGAAAGACTCAACATGAGCCAACAATGCATGCTTTCAGCCCAGAAGGCCAACCATATCCTGGGCTGCATCAAAAGAAGTGTGACCAGCAAGTCAAGGGAAGTGATTCTGCCTTTCTACTCTGCTCTCATCAGACCCTACCTGGAGTGTTGTATCCAGTTCTGGGGCCCTCAACACAAGAAGGTCATCGAGCTGTTGGAATGGGTCCACAGGAGAGCCATAAAGAAGAAGAGAGGACTTGACCACCTTCCCCATGGGGAGGGGCTGAGAGAGTTGTGGCTCTTCAACCTGGGGAAGAGAGCACTGCAGGAGGACCTTATAGCGGCTTTCCAGTACCTGAAGGAGCCCTACGGGAAAGCTGGGAAAGGACTTTTTTTTGAATGCCAGGACAAGGGGAAATGGCTTTAAACTGGAAGAGGATAGGTTTAGATCATATATTAGAAAGAAAAGGGGAGGGTGGTGAGACACTGGAACAGGTTGCCTGGAGAGGTTGTGGATGTCCCTTCCTTGAAGGCTTTCAAGGCCAGGCTGGATGGGGCTTTATCAAGCTGGTCTAGAGGGAGGTGTTCCTTCATATAGCAGAGGGATTGGAACTAGATGTTGTTAAAGGTCACTTCCAACCCATTCTATGATTCAGTGGTGAATTTATGTTTCAAAATAGTAGCTAATTTCTGGACAAATATATTTGCAATGCATTTTTTGCTTCCTTTTAATCTTAATTTGTTTTGTTTTGTTTTTTATGCAAGCAGTTCTTGTTTGTTTTCATAAGATATACTTCCAAAGTTTTCTCAGGATAATCACAACTGGAAAAAAAAAAAAAGAAGGGGAAAAGTGCTAATAACTTTCTTTTATATGCAAATAATTTATCTAGTTACTTAGCCAAGTTCTCGAATTGATTAGAAAGGAAAACATGCATTAATTTCAAGCAATACTATAGCAGTAGACTGTTGAGAGCATTTTTATTACCCTCAAGGACATTCATGTTTTGCCTTAAAACTTTCTAATTATATGCAGCTGGTCAGGTATGGTAGCTTCAGCAAGTCAAACAGTCAGCAAGTAACAAAATACTTCCACATCAAACTGTTACTCTACCTACAGATTTCAGACCACAGGGTTGATTTCAAACAACTATTAATCACATAGAAGATCCGAGCAGTAAGAGAACTGATGCTTTCTCAGTCTTTAATACTTCATTAAACTTTGGTTAGCCACATTTAATGGACTCAATGCAGCCAAAAGCAAGGTTATATATATAGACTATACTAAAACACAAGCCTACCTATAGCCTTGAAGTCTATGATTTTGGAAACAATGTGGGAGGTTATTAGAACTAAATAATAGTGCATTGAGTACAAAAGAACATACACTTAAGCACAACAGCAACAAAAACAGCACTTTACCTCTGTTTGTACAGTTGATGTGGCCACTACTAGAAAAATAGCATCCAGTGTACAAACTAAGCAAAGTCATGAAGATAGAAGGTAAATGCTGCAATGGAGGTCTAGCAGTGCTCTTTTGAACTTGAAAAACAGGAAGTCTAGCTATCAAAAATGAGTTCTAATGGTGATGAAACTGATAGCTAGGTGTGGGCACACACCATTTTGGAAAAGGAACTGTAATTGTAAATGTGGCTTGCTGCCTACAATTCAGAGGGAGTGACAGGGTTCTCGAAGGAGTGACTGAAACAGGCATGTGAGCACAGGATACACCTGTGGTCTGACTTACAGCAGCTCTGGAAAAATTACTGCACAAAGAGAACATGCTGATGGAAAAATACGAACATGGCTTGCAAAAATACAGCTTGAGCTGTGCACATAGTACAACACTGACTGCAGACTGAGAACCCGTACAGTGTGGGAAGTTAGCCAGATGAGGAAAACATGATAACTGCCTAATACAAGATGCAGGATAACATGGAGAGAAGTGATCTAATTCTTATAAGGGTAGCCAAATTTCACATCTGTTGTATGCAAGCAATCTGGACTTCACAGAGCACTCCAATCACCTAACAGAGAACTGCTGCATTCTTGCTCTGCTGGATGGATAAAGGAGCATGTGTGGCTGGACAAAGCTGAGATGAGCACGTTCTCTGTGAAAGTGAGATCAGAAAGAGTTCTGATAGGGGCAGTGGACAAGAAGTTACACTTTGGAGAAGTCAGCAGTGCATTAGCATCAGTGATGATCCAGTTATTTGCAGCACACAAACAGTGCGTTGATTAGGAATTAGCTAATTAGATCTGGAATAAGCTGCTTGCACTGCTAAACAGATAGCACAGCTCTTCCTATGGAATCCAGCAAGGGCTGTAAAAAACATTCTCAGGGCCTAGGAAATTCACAATACAAAAACATATTTGTCCCAAACAAAGAAATTCTTCAAGTTACATTATTAATTGATAGTACTCAACTTCCACTGATTTCAAATTAAAATGTAAGTGAAGCTTATTTTTAAGCGCTTCACTGAAGAAAGATGACTTTCTGAATTTGATACTGACAAATTCTATCAATTTTTATCAAAAGAGAGTTAACTCAGAGTTCTCTATGGCCTGACCTGCAGCTACAGGCTTAAGCAGACCAAGTGATAGAAAAGTGAAGCAAAAGAAATTTAAATAGAACTGTGCCACAGCTTGAATACAAATCATACAAGATACATACAAGAACAACTGTTTACTAAGTGCTGTGGAAACTCTCAAGTGACTGTATAGAACTTTCAAACAAGCCTGTCTTTCTTCAACAATAATACTAAAAGTTAGATGATACTTCGTGACCTAGAATATGCTAGATGGTAGAACAATGCACATGTTCTATGAAGTCTGAAAACTAATCTTTTTTTTCCTTTCAAATAAGAAACGTGGTTCATCCATACAGTGGAATATTAACCGTTTTTCCAAGCGTCATATTTTTGAATTAGCTGCAGGTTTTTGTTTGATGTGATTCATTTTTACAAAGTCTAAGATTTAAAACCATTTCACTATCTCCCATTGGCCGTGTGAAATACCAATGTTCTCCTTAAGGGGAAGACAAGGCAATAAGCTAAGATTTTGCTGTTTTGGTTTTGCATATAGGTTTCAAGCTTCATCAGCCCAGGATCAAATAGCAGTAAGCGTAGGAAGTCATTTTCATGTTTAGTGTTATCTACAAACCATAAATAATTTGCGTAATTTGTATATGTAGTATACAATGATAATAGTGAACTGTTCTTAATTTCTCACTCTCTTTTCCTTTTTCTGGTTCAAAGAAAAGGGAAGAAAAAGTACAGACTTCTGTTTTTGAAAACCTCTAGAATCAGTTTAGCTGATACAGATTTTCCTAGTCTAAGCTAGGTTTTAAGAAAAGGACTTACTCCTTAGCACCATATAGCTGTGAGAACCTCAGGTAGGGAATAGGGATCAAAAGCTTCGCAAGATTCCCCCAACTCTTCCTCAGCTCCACCTTTTGTATCCATTCTGCTGGAGGAGCAGTATCCTACATAACAGTAATGTTTTTCCATCACACTTTTCTTGCAGTGAATGCTGGGTGCTTGCCACTGCTTGTGACATTATTGTAAGCTCTGTGCAGGCTGAGAAACCAGCAGAAAGTGAACAGTTCTAATTCCACAGCACATACCATCTTGCCTGCTAGGTCTCACTCCAAGGTCCAAGGCCTCACTCATTGCCTTGTCAAAGTTACAATTATTTATCCAAGCAGAGAGCTAGCACTGCTCCTGACAGAAGCTCTCTACTAGTATCTGGAATTGCCACAGCAATGCCCATCGTGCCAGGAACTGTCCTTATTTCACAGCAACTCACACAGGCACTGGTGAGCCCAGCCTGTGCCATAAACATGCATCATCAGCTCTGCCTCCCAAAAACTGGCTTCCAGAAATATCTTCCAGCTGTCCAAAGTCAGCTGGCATGCTGACATAGCATGCCCCATGCTGATAGCCTGCAGTGCTGCTCTCTTCCAAGTATAAGTAGAACAGTGCAGTAGGGAGGCTGAGAAAAGCAGACACTTAACATGCTAGGGAGCAGAATCCTGTTTTAGGTCTGTGAATGTTTCCAGACAGTACTACAGTACACTGTAAGCTGCTTCAGTTTAAACAGAGGCAAACCCCATTAGGCTGTGTGGCTATCAGCAGAACTGCTTCTGCATCTTCCCTTTGTTCTTGGCCACAGATGAGGCATGGGATGAGGGAAGTGGTACTTCTCTGTAAACCCCTTGTTTGGGCAAGATGGGCCCCCTCCACCTGTGCTCCAGTGTCTCAGTCCTGCCCCTCACTGCCTGTGCCTGCTTCCAGACTTCTGCTCTTTCTTAGCATCCTCAGCCCAGAGCTCTCCCTGCATAAGTGCTGATCTACAGCTCTGAAGAGAGAGTTTTTTCACCAATATTCTGTTGGAAAATGTTATCTGGTTTTTTTTTTAATGCACTTTTTTAATGCATTTTGATGTTGGTTTAATTATTCTCAAACACTTTATATCTATTTGTACATTTATTTCTTACCTCACATCTGTAAGAAGAAAATGAAAAAAAAAAAAAATTCCTTGGACAACCCCTTGCTTCCTGTAATGTAAGCA